TATCTCGACAACCACTTATCTAAAATCGGTGAAATTTTTTTTATTTTAATTATATAGATATATAGAATCAGAATAAAAAACTTTTCAAGATATCCTTATTAAAAGCTTGAAATTACAATTGAATAATTTCACCCAATCAGAATGCGACTGTTCATTTTAGCGACAAATTTTTTCGCCATGGCTAGGGTACTATAAATCATAGATCAAATAAGTTATTACCAGGTTTTGGAGTGATAATTTCAAAAACTTTCAAAAAATCTTTATTCCATCCATCAAATAAATCGTCTATCCTATTTTTGTCTTGTTCAAAACTACCTTGAGGAACATTCCATAAAAATAATGATCCGTTGATTAAGATTACAGGCCCTTTTACTTTTAACTCGTTTGAAGTAATAAACCCGTATTTTGTTACTTTACTAATCATGGTCCACGAACGTATTAAAGAATCATCAAACATATTACGAAAGGCAGCCTCTGTTGGAGTGGGTACAATAGTATCAGATTTAGGAGGTAACTGAAAGTTTTCGTCTAACTGTCGCGGTTTTTGATTTTTGATTGAAGGCGTTGAGTGTAAAGTTGCAGACCTATGTATCTTTAAACGAGGAGAGAAGATATAATGAAAGGTTTTGTCGCGCAAGTATACATCAGATATCTTGAAAAACGTCGATCTGAATAATGTTTGCATTTTTTAAAAATTTCTTGTTAACGTTAAACTGAAGGAGTATACTGTATATTTTTTGCCGATCGTTTGTCACATGAATGATAGGACACGGATGTTAAGTGGTTCGTCCAGTCACTGTTCAGTCCCAATGAGTTCAAAGAAAAAAACGAACTGAAAGTTCATAACCTAGTTTTGAACTTGAATTTGAACTCGAATAAACTTTGAAGTTCAAAACTCGAGTTCATGAATCGAAGTTCAAATAATAATAAATTCCTATTTGCATAGTTTCAAAGAGCAGTACATATAGTATATACGAAACGTAGTTAACAATCTTTATATGTACCGATATATAATTTTTTTTATAAGTTAACTAGCCAGTCTGTCTTATTTTTTATTTAAATTTCTTAAGAAACCTTTTAATAATTACAATATTTTTATTAAAAATCTTCGCCAACGGATGGATTGTAACACATCAATTAGAGTTTGGAACCGATTTTATTTATAAAAACCAGTTGTAATTATATTTGAAAAAATCAACCCGGTGTTAACCTCTCGGACTCAAAGCCAACGGTTCAACTAATAACAGGGAGTCACGTGAGCACGGAGACGCGAAAGCACATCTAGAATGTGTGACAGGTTGATCGACAAAATTAAGAAAAAAATTTTTTTTTATTCCAAAATTTTGCCTATTAAACCACTCTTGGTGCTCTAAGAAAAAAGATTCTACTCATAATTTTGGTATAGAATTTACATAACTCTTCTTTCTAACGCTCTTTCAATCTAACCATAACATTTAAAAACTGTTTAATATAGGCCGATGTTGATCAAT